ACTCTTTCATTATAACATAGAATTATTCAATTTCATCCGTTGGAAAGGAATGGCGTGAGCGGTGGTGATGTAATATGGGATCGAGGAAGGGAATCTCAGTGTTGAGTCCGACTCTCCACAGATCGAGATATGGCGAGGTAACAGGAACCCTAAGAGAATGGTGGATGAATGCAGTTGTACACTACACATAGTTAAACATAACTTAAGAAAGCAAAGATGCACAACGCCCGAATATGAAGTTCGAAAAAGCACCTGATTCGTGTTCCTATGAAAAAACAACTGAAACATCGAAACCTTGTCAAGTGATTATTTTTAGATCATAATTTACAATATTACTTTCGCAGTCTTTAAATTTTTTGTCTGTAGACGTTGAAGACTGATGTGGAGCGCGAGGGAATCATGAAATTTATTATGGGGAAAGGAACGACCAACGAAGTTAAGAAGAAAATGGCCGTTATGGGAAATCGGCAGGTGAAAAACGAGGCTATGGAGGACATGCCGTAAAGTCGACAACAAACTTCTACCAACCTTCTGTACTGTTAGCCATTAAGATTGTTTCAATGACGATCGATGGACAGTTAAGTACTTTCGATATAAACCAGGGCGTAGAGTTTTTTTGCGGTCTTGTTATATTGTCATAAAATTGTTTTCGACTTGTACTATGTCTCTGAGGTTTCTTTCTTGAAAGTATTGATGAGCTGCATTTCTAGGATATTTCAATGAAATCAATCTTGCATATGAATGTCTGTTTTTGGAAGACTGTACTTTGTGAATGTATTAAAAAGCATTAAAGGTACTGTTAAGAAATCTGAAGAAACATATTGTTTCAAAATATGCGCAACGTAAACATGCAGATATAGCGAGGAAACGATAGACTATTTGTTCAGTAGCAAAGTATTCCTTCAGAGATGGAATAAGCGTTTACGAATGATTTAACTTGTTAACATTTGAACTCTTCAGTGTCAAATTTTGAAATCGGCTTGAGACATCTGGACATATTCAGCTGCAGCTGACAGAGGTTGGAGGTAAGATTTCGCTTGAAAGCTTCTGAATTATCGATTCTATTAATCATTGTCATCTGCGTGCAATTTCTCTTTGTCGATAAAAGGGCCTTCCTCAAAAATGGGTGTTTCTCTGCTGATGCGCTGGTGGATGCGTAAACTGTCCAGTCGCGTGAGGAGGGAAGTACGTGGCATTTCTGAACCGTGAAGATCAGCTGCTCCTCCGTCGAGACAATTTTACTTGGGGTAGTAGGAAGAAGTGATGCAAGTTGTGTACAGCGGCACCAGATGCCAGCAGCTAATCTTGCTCTTCAAAACTGCTGTCTATAAGCCCCAAGGGCGCCATAAATTTTATATTGCCAAAGTCTGACTTAAATTCTGCATCCATCGTCTAGTGATGCATCATAACCATATTTTCAAAGATTTTTATTTCAGTGTGACCATACAAACGAATATACCGATCTGGCAGCCGATCTAACATAAACGAGACATCGAGGGGAATATGTTGGTTTTAAGGTCAATTTTCCTGAAGGATAACAATCATCATTGACTACACAAAGCTGATTTGCATTCCGACTGTGCACATCGACAATATTTTAAAACGATGCCTTTCGCCTATGACAATAGAACTGTTTTGATCGGTTTAATAAGACTACCTGTTTTAAATAAATATTACTCGAAGCAACATCTATCGATCTAGCGACACTAGACAGATAGAATTATGGAATCATGAAATGTTGCAGATGAGTTGTCCCGCTTCTTCGTCATTGATAAAGGAGTTCATCAATGAACAACCGATGAATGCTCGTTCTGGCAATCAGACCATAGTCCTTTCGCAGATTCCGTTAGAAATTCCTTTGAAATTCACCAGTGAAAGAACGCATGCGATCTGCCAATAATTAATCTGCATCTTATTAAAAACAGATATGTTCATGTCGACCGGTAGGTGGTTGTTATAATTGCAAGCAAATGGCCACGAAATCAAATTATGCGGCTTTCGATTGAAGCTTAGAACACGACAGAAAAATTTCTAGCATTTGTCGATTCCAAACGGTCTTTAGTTTGTCACCTACAAGACAATGTTTCACTGATTCACGTGTCTGTTGCGATCCAATTCTTCACGCAAATTTTCTCTGTAGAAAAGGAAATCTGGCAAGGAGCTGCTGGTTCGACAGTCTTTCCCCTGAAAACCCAGGTATGAAGTACGAACGGAGGAAAAAGTGACAGCGGAGATTGAAGACAGTGAACTGAAGGTCGAACCAGATCTCAGTGAGAAATTTTTCCTCTGAAATCCTTAGGTGAAAAGACACATGTATATTTCTGCGAAGCGACTGAAAATTGCAATGGCAAACATTTCTTTTTTGTACCGTGATGCAAAGCGGTTGAGCTTTATCTGCCTGAGAAAATATAATTGATTAAGGCAGCTGAGGAAATAGTAAAAGTTCTATGGCGGAAAGAATACATTTAGAGACTTTTTAATTCTGAGAATTTCTTCTGTATAAACAGATGATCTATTGGTTATGTCGGAAGGAAGAAGAGTAGCAACAACAGAAAAAAGGGCAAAAGGAAATACAAGTTGATTTTTATTTGCTAGACAGTTCAGGAATGAGCCAGTGTAGGAATGAGTGAAAAACCAATCAGTAAACGTGTTTCTAAAAGAATGAATGGACTCGTACGCCCATGGATTAGGCATCAGTGAGCGAGTGAATAAATGAATGAAGAAACGAACGAGCCTATGAAATTATGACAGATAGAATCGATGAACGAATGAATAAGCAGATAACCATCGAGTGTGATACAACAGCATCGAGCCGGCGAGTACATAATGAGTGAATAAACCAGCGACCGAGTCAGTAATGGGTAATGAATGAATGATCCGGTGATATACCCTTTTGTGTTCGTTTAAATAGCCGTATCAGCCCTGGAAAGGATAAGTGAGTGAATCAATGAATGAATATATTTTTAACCTTTTAAACAAATGCCTGATTACTGTATTGTGCTCGCAAACGGTTCAGATTTGCATTACTTGTTGGAATAAACTTCATAATTAACCGAATGATAAAACGTGGTGAAAGTTAATCAAAGCA